CAGCAATGGATAAAGGTTCCAATTTCCCCACGTCCCCCCCAGCATTTGTTTTCTGTTTGTTTTTTTATCTTAGCCATCTTAGTGGAGTGAAATGGTTTCTCACTGTGGGTTTGATTTTCATCTCTAATGACTAATGATGCTGAGCATCTTTTCATGTGTTTGGTGGCCATTTGAATGTCCTCTTTGGTGAAATGTCTATTCAAGTTCTTAGCCCATTTTATGATTGGATTATTTGTCTTTTTGTTAAGTTGTCGAAGTTTTATGTATATTTGGTTATTAGATTCTTGTTGGGTATATGGTTTCTGAAAATACTCTCCCAGTTGGTAGCTTGTCTCTTCTCTTTTTTGGTAAAGTCTTCTGATGAACAAAATTTTTTAATTTTTATAATGTCTCATTTATTTATTTTGTCTTTTGCTGTTTGTGCTTTTGTTATTAGGTAATCCATTGTTAAAAGCTAGGCCTGGCAGCGTTGCCCCTGCTTTTTCTTCTAAGAATTTTATGATTTTAGTTTGCACATTTAGGTCCTTAATCCATTTTGAATTTGTTTTTGTGTATAGTATGAGGCATGGATCCTGTTTAATTTTTCTGCATGTGGAAATCCAATTTTCCCACCACCGTTTACTGAAGAGACTCTTCTTTCCCCATTGAATGAACTTGATAGCCTTGTCAAAAGTCAGTTGACTATAGATGTGTGGGTTAAATTCTGGCCTCTCAATTCTGTTTCATTGATCTATGTGTCTATTGTTATATCAGTACTAAGGTGTTTTGATTTCTGTAGCTGTATAGTATGTTTTAAAATCAGGAAGTGTGCATCCTACTTTATTCTTTTCTTTCAACATTGCTTTAGCTATTCAGGGCTTCTTGCCGTTTCAACAGCACACATATCACATATTTCAAAGGGTTTTCTAAATCAGGTGTGCAGGCTTTTCCTTTACCTGCTGTTGCCATCTTCCTGTGTCCATTCTGACTCATGCTGTTTTGTTGTTTTATTGATGGAAATTGTTTCAAATCCCTTAGTTATGTGGGAGTGAAAAAGTTAAGAATCAGTGATTTAAATAATTAACATATACTTAAATATGCAGTAGAAATATAAAATTGCTCAAGTGGAGAAAATGTTCATTTACACTTACTTAAACCATAATTTTGGAAAATCTAGTATAAGCCTTGTTGTCAGTACGCATTTTATAGTGCTAGCAATTTCTGTGTGTACTTTTCAACAAGATATTTATTGACTCTTCAACTTGAGAGCTGAAAGGATACTGTAACATTTGAAAAATGTTTTAAGCATATTCCAAATCACCAAAATGTCCTAGGAGGACACTGCACATCCTTTGTACAAATTCCAAACAGGAACTTTTTTCAAACTAAGAATATTTTTTTTTCTTTATGCAGCTAGGATTCAATTCAGTAGAAAGTTTTATACTGATCTTTATGTACCACTCAGGGTAAAACAAAAATAAATAAATAAATAAATAAACCCACTGCCATTGAATTGACTCTGACTCACAGTCACCCTATACGACAGAGTAGAACTGCCCCTGGGGCTTCCAAGGCTGTAAATCTTTACAGAAGCAGATTACCACGTCTGTCTCCCACAGAGCGGCCAGTGGGTTCGGACTGCTGACCTTTTGGTTAGCAGCCAAGCACTTTAACCACAGCACCATTAGGCCTCCTACCCAGAGTAAAGCCCTCATGAAATTGTTTACATTTGCTTTTCAGGTTATTACTTCTTTTTATGTGGAGCGTGGAGGGAATGCTATGTCCTTTATGGGGAAAGGTGTCACCAAGAGCACAGTGCTTTGCCTGCTTCACTTATCACATGAGATGATGACCCAGGCCCAGAGCTTGGTGAGAGCATTAATAGCTGTCTATCTTCTGAACAATTTCTTGAGAACCAGTGTGTTTTAGCTAATAGATTTCAAGCTTAGAAGCTTGTTACATGAAAATGTTTCTTTTGACTTTTCTTTTTAGGAAACAAAAATAATTTTTAATTAAGATGTTTCTTAGAAGTTATATATTACAACTGAATTTTAATTAGAATTTTATTCTGCATTTTATTCAGAATTTATTTTGGTTGAAGTCTTCATTCACTAGAAAACTACATTTTGTCTAAATCATCGGAAAAAAGCTGTTCTGAGGAAAAAATGGTATTTTTAACTCTTTTAGGAGAAGCTGAGATTTTTGTTTGCCTTGTTTGGAGTAAATAATAGATTGTAACTGGGTCTTAAATATAGTCTTACTTTGTTTTGATCTTTAAAAGTTGAGTTATTTTAAAATCACTCTGTTTTATTCTTAGAAACTTGCCTAAAGTATTTCTGCTCTCCTGTTTCTCATTGTAGGACTGGATGTCACTTTGGTTTCTGCCTCTGGGTGGCCACAATGAAGAGCATGTTTCTTCTCAACAAGGACTGGCTTGGCTTATTCCGTTATGGGTTGATCGGGACCCAGAGGTCAGTGTGAAGAAGAATCCAATCCATTCTTTGTAGATTTAAAAAGCATGCACATGCCTTTATTCCAAAATGAGATTACTTAAATGACAATCCCTTATGTTTTATTTCTCTTTTTAGTCAAATTCATTAGAGTACGGATTGAAAATATAAAAGAGAAAAGTTTGTCAATCTGTCACTTTCAGAAAGAACAGTAGAAAATAATTGGAGAAGCCCAGCCAGTTTCTCAAGCAGTTTAGAAGGTTAGCTGGGAGTTATAAGTTATAAAGCCAAGTGCCATTTAAGTGCCATTTAGTAGAACAGTACTATTACAATGCACAATTTTATATTATTAATGAATTTTTTCAGTTTTAACCGTTTGTTTACTAACTTCTAGCAAGGAATGATTATGTTATAAAAGGCTCGATTTGTAGAAATATTTGATCTGAACTCAGAGATTCTATTCTTTGGGCACGTTGAACTTAGACTTGTTGCTTGATTACAGTAAGACTATATTGTTTTTTGTTATGCTATAGCTATCATTGAAACTATTTTTGGGTCAGCATTCAGAAGTTCATGAAAATGCATAGCTTGAATAGCAGTGGTACTACTACAAGCGTATTACACTAAATCAATCTTGTCTGAAACATAATGTCTCTTAAAATAATTACAGAGAAAATAGCATATGCCTTGTAAAAAGATAATTCAGTTACTTCTTTGTTTTTTTTCTTTTTCCTTTTTTTTTTATTGTACTTCAGGTGAAGGCTTACAGAACAAATAGCTTCTCATGCACCAGTAGTACACATATTGTTTTATGACATTGGTTAACAACCCCACAGCATGTCAACCCTCTCCCTTCTCGACCTTTTTTTTTTTTTTGGTAAAAATATACATAGCCAAAGATACACCATTTCAAAAATTTCTACACGCCCAGTTCAGTGACGTCGACTACGCTCTTCCAGTTGTGCTGCTATTCTCACTTTAGATGAAGGCTTACAGAACACAATAGTTTCTCATTTAACAGTTAGTACACATGTTGCCCTATGACAATGGTTAACAACCTCACAACACATCAACACTATCCTTACTCAACCTTGGGTTCCCTATCACCAGCTTCCCTGTCCCCTTCTGCCTTCTGGCCCTTGTCCCTGGACTGCTGTGCCTCATTAAAGTTTTTGAAGGAGTTTCAAACCATTCATTTGGAAGAAACACTTAAAAACTTAAGAATGGTAGAGCACAGTAATAGGTACCCTCTTTAAGAACAAGGAATGAATAGAACGGGGTTCATAAAAAATATGTAAACTCCCTATACTTTTCCTGGATAAAAGCTCATAAATTATCATTTTGAACTTTTTATTTATAGCTGGATTTGAATTTTTGTGACATTTGCTTTTATTTAGCCTCCCCCCACCCCAACAGGTATATTGTTGCTTTCTTGAACCATGGAATAGGATTTTTATTCATTCATAAACTTATAGGACATTATCTTCTACAAGTGTCTTTTATTTATTTAGGGTTGTCAAACCAGTGCCATAATTGTAAAAGTATAATATTTTATATACCAGAAAAATGATTAAGAATTCACGTTAGGAAATAGAATTCTGTGACTTGATAACTTTTCTTTTTAATTTGAACAGGTGAGATTCACTTCTCTGGGGTTAGGATCAGCATTAACTACCCTTGAAGCTGGCTGTGTAGCCTTGGCAAACAGTTGTCAGAACATTTCTGGTGGGCTCTGGGGAACTGTGGTGAACATTCTTCTGGACCAGTCAGAATGTAGTATGGTGCGCCGGGAGGTATGTCTGTCTGCTTCCCCCGCCCCGCCCCTTGTTCTATAGAAATCTGTTGAGATGTTTGACTACCTGCTCATCATGGTGGAGTGACCCCTAACCATTATCTCTCTTGCCTGCCAAATGCCACAGAAGTTCACAGAGAAAATAACTGCAGCCTTCATGGGTCTCTAATGTTTATAAAGTTTTAGATAAGAAAAGAGGCTGTAAAAATACTGTTTGTCGTATTTATCATGTAACATATGAGAGGGAAAAAACCCATTGCCATCGAGTCGATTCCCACTCATAGCAACCCTGTAGGACAGAAAGTAGAACTGCTCCATAGGGTTTCCAAGGAGTGGCTGGTGGGTTGGAACTGCTGACCTTTTAATTAGCAGCTGAGATCATAACCAGTGTGCCACCAGGGCTCCATTATGAGAGGAAAAATAAACATATTTTAATTCTTTTTAAATGGTATGTGGATTTTTCATTTTTTATTAAAATTAGATTAAATCATGTAAATAGTTTTAAAAACAATAATCAAGTAGTACTTAGAGGTTTATAAAGAAAGCAGCTCCTGGGTTCAGCAGTAGCTAGATCCTAGTTTGAAACCCCAATGGCTTTAGTTTTCTTGCTCTTTACCTCCTTGTTTTTACACAGTAATGCCTGAACTTATGGCTTGCTCTTGATTTATCAAACTCAAGCTGTATCTGTTGACTTGCAGTTAAGATAATGGAAAATTCAACTCTTAGAAGCCCATTGTTGCTCCTGTCATTCTCTCATTATAGTTATATCCTAAGCTTGCATTAAATTGGTAATCAGTATTCATATTAGTATGATTATTTAATTTGATATCTTCAGGGCCTGGAATTTGGACATTCATAATTTGTTTTTCTAGGTAGCAAGTTTTTATCAAGAGGAGTTTGTATGTAAGCAGGAAGGGAGAGCAAGAAGTGTGTGTGTGTATAAAAGCTGTGAGGGCATAATAGAAACTTGAAAGTATATTTGTTAAATGATATCAGAACAATTTATATACTACAAATCACTTTTTGATGAAATCAAATTCTGAAATAGGAAAAAAATATATTTTTGTATAAAATAATTTCATCTGCTGTTAGGTCATCACCATTTACAATTTGACCATTTTCATAATGACTTCTCAGCATGTACAGTTGACCAGGGATATGTCTTTTGTTATTAAGTTATGATACATTGGTGATTTCAGAGATGACAACAAGATGGCAGTATTGACATTTTCTTTATTTTTAGGCCGCATTTATTCTTCAGAATCTCCTTGTAATTCCAATGCCTACAGAAATTATAAAGGATTATACTTGGCAGGTGGGTGACTTTAAACAGTTATCAACCTAGTAGATATTGTAGGTTAATTGATGGTAAAATTTCAGCATATATGTATTTTATCACTGATGAAACTTTGTATAACAAGGATTTCTTAAAAGAGAATGGTAAACTTTCTTATGCTTTTAAGATTTAAAAATTCTTCTCCATACTGTTAAACATCACTTCAAACAGAAATAAAATTATAGTGTGTATTATTTATTAGACACTCGTTTAGCAACTTAACATTTATTAACTTGTGTAATTGTTGGAGTTGTGAGCTATTATTATCCTCATTTTATGATGATGAAACTTTAGCACAGAGAGTTTAAATAGTTTTCCCTAAATCACACAGCTGGTGAGTGAATGGTCCACCTTTGCTGTGAGTCCATTCAGTGTCACTCAGAGCCTGGCTCTTACCCACTTCAATTTACTACTGCCTTTTTAATCATAATAAACGTATTTGTTTATAGTTAAGTATGCACTGATGCTACCGTCTTTTCCTTTTCTGGGTTAATGCACACTTAGGATCATAATTGATTTTTCTTTGGTTTCTACTGGATTAATTTTTTGTTTCATGTTCTGAATATCATGTTAGTAAATATTTACTTAATAGCCTACTGCTTTTTAGATAATTTGGAGGATATTAAAGTGCCGTCAGTGGGGAAATAAATATCCTCCTTCTCTACCCTTTTGCCTATCTGTATGTCCTTCTCCTATAAATGTATACTTATCATCATGTTACACCTCATTCCCTAGGAGCTGTACAAATCAGAAGTATATTTTTAAATCTTCATTAGAATATATCCTTGGAGGAGTTACCAACTCAGGCTGAGCTGCATGGAGGGCAGCTGTGAGGGTTGGAATCCAGGTGGTTGAATTGTCAAGGCTCAGTTCACATGTAACTCTTGGAAGGCTCATGTCCCCACATCTTACAAACCCTGTTTAACTTTGCCAGTTATTGTAAATCCCAGGCCACTTTTATGCTGGTTCCTAGCAATTTGTTCAACATTGCCTTCTGGCAGTGGTTGCTTATTCACATTTTATGATCTAATAAAACCGTAAAAGTCATTGCTGTCAAGACTCATAGCCCCATAGGGTTTCCAAGGCTGTAATCTTTATAGAAGCAGGCTGCCACATCTTTCTCGCGTGGAGCGGCTGGTGGATTCGAACCACTGACCTTTTGGTTACCAGCTGAGTGCTTAACCGCTGCGCCACCAGGGCTCCTTAGAAGGAATATACAGGGTTAATATTGACAGTGTAGTAGTTTTGGTGTCTAGTATCTAATAACTAGATTTTAAAAATGTGTTGGTTTTGGTTCAAATACAGATAATCTCTACTCCCATTGTTAAACAAGTGACACTTGTGTGCTTAATACAGCTTGTTGATGTACTTCCAATGAATTTTTTATTACTGAAGTAAATATAATAGAAAGGCAAGAATAATAAGATTTCTGGGTTATATTAAAGCCCAGTGGGACATTATATTATAAAACCATGTGGAGAAGTTCACATTTTTCTCTTACAAATTAAATAAGCAGTTCCTATTTGTTCCCCTGGTGACACTTTTACTGCAATTTGTTTGTTTAGCTATCCTGCACCTCTCTATCATGGAATTTGTTTTCTACTAAAAAGTTGAAAATAGTGGCTTAAATGAGCTTTTGGTGTCTTTTGCCCTGCCTAAGTTGGCCCAAATCAAAAATGCTTAAGAGCCATTCCGTCCCCAAACAGTACTTGATGATGAAACTTTTGTTGGTTCTAAGCGAAGTTATAAAAATAAGGACAGTCTTACGTGTTTTTGGTAAACTCAGATCTTCTCTCTTTTTAAAATCTGTTTTTGGTTACTATTTATTTTAATTTAAATGTCCTCAGCAGTGTAAATAGGTGGTGACCCAATATTTGTCCCCTGATTTTAAAAAAGGTTAATGGTACTTTACATCCCAAAGTGGAAACGCTGTAAGAAGACAGAAAGATAGTCTTCAAATACAGATGGTGGAGTTTTTATAATCTCAGGGAAGTCGTGGCCTGAAGGAGTTGGCAAGTTTATTATAGCCAGAAAGAAGGGGCTGTGTACCTAGTATTCTAAAACTAGAGTTATTTTCTGTATACATTTTCAACTGATTTACGAATAATAATCTTATTCAGAAAAATGTTTCATTTCTCTTTCTCGGTATACATTTCACAGTATTTTTGAGGGTGTGACAGGAAGTAGCACCAGTGCCTAGGAGCTTTGTTAATACTTTACTTTGTTGGAGGTAGATGTTTAATTATGTCTCCTGCTCCTTCCCCCACCCACACACCCAGCATGCATTCCTATTTTATGTTACTATCTGGAATTACTGTACTTCTGAATAGTAATAATTTTCATATGTAAATTATGAATTATATAACTGGGTTTTTAAATTTTTAATTTTTTTGGAAAAAAATTAAAGTTACAGAAAATTTGCAGGAACAGTGCAGTAATTTTCATATACCCTTCACCCAGATTCCTCAAATGTTATCATATTGCCATGTTTGCTTTAGCTCTACCTGTCTAGAGTTTTGTTTTTGTTTTTTCTAAACTGTTGAGAGCTGCAGGCAGTGTTTCTTTTCCCCTAAATACTTAAGTATGAATTTCTTAAAAAACAAGAACATTCTCTTAAATAACCACAGTAATAATAATCAAATCATGAAACTATTCAAATTTTGCCAGTTGTCCTACTAATGTCCTTTATAGCCAATACACACACACACACGCATAAAATCCAAGATCTAGGATCCATTTCAAGAATATACTTTGCATTTATTTTTGATGCGTCCTGGCCATTTGCATTTTGGAATATCCTTCAATTTAGGTTTGCCTGATGTTTCCTTAGAACTAGATTCAGGTTATTCATTTTTGGCAGAAAAACCATGGAAGTGTGATTATGTTTTCTTCTCAGTGACTTATCAGGAGACACATGATATCTGTTTGTCCCATTACTGATGATACTAACTTTGAGTATCTGGTTAAGGTTACTTGGCTAATGTAGAGTTGGTCTGGTTCCTCCATTGTAGAGTTGCAGTTTTTCCTTTTGGAGGGAGGTACATTGAGACTGTGTAAATATCTGTTTCTCATCAGACCTTCTCTCTCTGGTTTGAACTGTCATTCACAATTCTTGTCTGAAACAATTCTTACATAATGGTTGCCATATGACAATTTTCTTATCCCATCATTCCTTGTGCATATATTAGATTTTACTCTAAGGAAGATCTTTCCTTTTTTCACCATTCATTTATTTAGACTAGTATGGACTCAGAGATTTTTTTGTTTACTTCATGCGTTACAATCTGTTGCTATCGTTATTTTGATGTTCAGATTTTCTCTGATTTGGCTAAGGAGATCCCCTTCATAATGACCCTTGCGTCCTTTGAACATGTTTCATTAATCTTTAAGCACTTCTTTCTTCTGACTCAGCAAGATAATCCAAACTTTCCTAGCCTGAGCCCTGAAATCACATATTTTCCCAAAGGGTCCTGATTCCTTTTAGTGGAGACTGGTGGTTAGAAACCCAGATGTGAGTTCTAGGTGTGCTTGTTGTTCCTGAGTTCAGATCGCTTCTCTGCCCTCTCAGTGGATGGAGCTAGTAAATGTCTGTGTATGTCTTTGTGTGTATTTTAGATAGATAGTTGACTCCTTTTAGTTATAATACAGATCGTTTTCATATTTGATGTGATTATTACATATATTTTCATCTTTTAATGTATTCATCATGAATCATTATGAGTATTGACTTCACCAAACAGTACATACTTAGTGTCAGAGAAGAAATGTCATTTTAACTATGTTCATTATTTACATAATTGTTAAGAATTTAATTTGTTATAAATCAAAATAATTATTTTTTTCTTCTTGAAAAATTTAATTCTCTATTGTTCTTCTTATAATTTTTACTTCTAGTTATTTTTCAGTCATAGATAATGAGTACATGAGCAGTATGAAAGTAGGACTAAAATGTGTTTTAAAATTAACATTCTACTTTATTGCATGTTGAGAACAGTGTTTTCAAATTAATTGGAACTTCCTATGATTTAATTAATTTGTTGTTTTCCTTGAAAATTTGTTTTTAACGGCACCTAGTGATTTGAAGAGTTTTCTTTGTTTGCATAGTGTCCTTCTCAGTTCTCCCTGGCATTTTCACAGATGATCTGGCAGGCCCAGCATGACCCGAGGGCAAGGCAGATAAGGATACAGACATCTTCAGACAGAGCAATTAGACTGTGCTTATTTCCCTACTATACCAGAAGACAACCCCATCAATTACTGATGGCATGGAGCAGAGCGTAGCACATGCATGAAAGACTCCGTTGTTCTGGCTCTTGTGCCATTAGTCATTTGTGGAAAGCTTGAGTTAGACCGTCTTTTGTGCATATGCTGGGCTTTGCTCCATTGTCACTGAAGCTCTGTTGATACTCTGCCATTGCCACTGGGAAGCTTGGCATGTGGATCATGGGGATTCAGGCGTTATGCTCAGTTAAAAAATATATATATATAAATAATGGTTATGTAATATATACGTATTCCAAATCATTTGATTTTCTTTCAAGAAGTTAAAAATACTTTGAATGAACTAATTTTTTGAGGAAATTATTTTTTTTAAGTAATAAACACAGGTGGTTAAAAAAGCTAATATAGCTTATGATGAAATTTATTACCCCTCTTCATTAACAGAAACAGTTTTACCTCTTTCTGGTTTTAATTCTTTAAGTAGTTGCCTCTGTATCTCTAACTAATATGTTACTAACAATATGCTTGTTCATGTACTGCGTTGATACATAGGATTAACTCATTTATGCATTATCCTGCCAATATTGTTCTCTCACTGTTTGTAGTTTCTCCACTGGTCACCCCTGCTGTTTCTGGTTCCATTTCCCATGGATCATATTTCTCGCACCTCCCTTCCACCATTTAGAAGATGAGTAAGATGTGATTATAATGTTCCTATCCTTTTCCTTCTCCATTTTTACTGCTAATGTTTGCCCGTT